GAGTTATTTAAAGATTATTTAATGTGTTTAAAGTTGGAATCCCAAAGCCAGCTTTATGATTTGCAGCCGGCTGTGTAAGAAAACAGAATGTGCAGGAAACTCGCAAAGTCGGCTGCTGAATTGTTAAGCTGGCTCTACTGAGAAAATAGAATGTAGGAAACCCATAGAGCCAGCTGCAGAAAAGTTAAGCCAGCTGTTTGGAGTCAGCTCTAGGGAGTTAAGCCGGCTGTTCTGACAATCCTGCAACTCGAGCTTTGTGTCTGCAGAGCATTAAATGACCCCCAACAGCTAGTAATGGCTATTTTCGACTATGAGATTATAAATATGGTTGATAAAAGATCTGAAGTAGGTTTAGAGAGCATTGCATTGAATATCTTTACCTACCTACATGAGCTTTAACTTGAGTTTTTGATTTTTGAGAGATCTTTGCTTGTAATCCTCTTCTTGTTCTATTTGTGAGTGATCTTGGGGGTATGATTAATCCTTCAAGAGTGGTCTATAGAGAGAATTCTTGGGGTTTATCTTGTAAAGGGGTGAGATTTAAGAGAAACACCTTTTTTCTTGTAAAAGGATTGAATGACTCCTTTAAGCCACCCTTGATTTTGTTAGTGGAGAGTGTGGAGGAAATCCTTGGTGAGTGAAGCCAAGGTAGAGGACTAAACTCCAAGTGGTTGGACCGAACCTCTATAAAATCATTGAGCAAGCTCTTCTTCTCTACTCTCTTTAATTTTGGTGTTGTGGTTGCAAAAGGGAAGAAATTTTGGAACTCCAATTCACCTCTCCTCTTGGAATACATTGTGTCAACAAATTTGCTTTGGGGTTCGCTAGAACCTAGCTATGCTAGGTTCGATGGAAACCAAAGTAGATCTAAGTTCCACCAAACCCAGAGCAAATCTAGGTTTGACCGAACCCATTAACTACGTTCCACTGAACCTAGCTCCACTGATATGAAGAAAAAAAAAAAACAATAAGCTGAGGGTTCCACGAACCAAATATAGACTTTGTGGAAGAAGACATGCAATGAATAAGCAACTAGATTTGGGTTCGTTCGAACCCCAAATTGTTGGGTTTTGAGAAAGTTAAATCTGGGTTTGTTCGAACCCCAGTTACTAGGTTTTGAAACCCAAATCTCTAGGTTCTCCTCTTTTTTTTTTTTTTTTGTTATATATTTGTTGTGAATGAGCAATTGA